TACCCTAAGCCTTATCCTAACCCTAACTCCTTATCCTAACCCTTACCGTAACACTAACCATACCCCTAATTCTAACCCCTAACCCTAATCGTGCTCAAACCGAGCTCGGATCGACCTCGAATCGAGCTCGAATCGCTGTCGACAAACCTGGAAATGTGGAGTTTTGTTCCGCCATTACCAAGGAAACTCCTGCCCTCGTGCCTTTATCCTTAAAAAGTGGGTACATGTCAGCATGCCAGATCCTTTTGTTACACTATACAGTTCAGCGCACAGATTGTGTAACATGCTGAAGTTTGCAAAACATTGACGATCACTCGCAAACTGTTAGGACGGCACAGAAACTGAGTCAACCCTCCAGCCGGCCTCGGGTTAGGATAAGAAGGAGACACCGACACGCGATAGCCTCATCGCACAAAGGACTAGTTTACGCGCGACCTTCAAGGGCCAACACCACGCGAGGACGCAAGGAGTTACGCGCACGCAAGACACAGCCGCCGGGTTCTGTCACACAAGGGTCAGTGCACAATGGCTGTCTGCATAGACCACTCGCGGAGGGGCCAATAGGGAACAAAGACTGGTGGCCCTTAAATGCGAGACTGCGAACAGAGGGCACATTCTGGTGCCCGAGACGAGAGCTGCTGCCGACACAAGACCAAGCTGCTAGATGCGCGGAAGACAAACTGCAGACGGGACGACTTGCTGAGGGATAAGTTGAGAGACACGCGCAGAGTTTATGTTAAAGCAGAGACTGTTACAGTATACTGTTCTCTGTTATCCTGTCTGTCTTCTCTTCCTAACATACAACTGGGGGATATAATACAAACCGGCGTTGACGCATGTAAGAAAACTTAGAAGCAATAGTGAACAGTCTGTGGCAAATTTGTTACTTAAATTAAATATATAGGAAGTTTAATCGTTTGTTAAGAAAAGCGAAAATTTTAAATCTCCCCAACATCCGTAGATGTCAAAAATAGCTATACACTAGAACAACAAACTTAAATTTTTCCTTAAGTTGCACGAATTACCACATCATGTTCTTTATATAAAAGACCTTTTCCTTAGCCAAATTATTTCAAACATATTGTTGTTATTTAAGTACAGTTATTCAGAGATGGACCTGTAAATGTTGATACATTTTCCAGCGTCGTTCAGTGTCTTAAAGCTTTCCTCCATAATTCCAGATTCTGTTCGACGTTTATATCAGAACCTGTAAAATAAGATATCGATTAAATGAATTTACAAAAAATGGCCGTTGCACGATTTCGTGGAAATACTGTATACATAATAGGACTTACTGGGGTTTTTGCCAACTTGGCATCCCTTGGAGACCCCTTTACAGAAACGTTTATCTAAAAAGACGACGTTTTTATGTTTTGGAAACATTGGAGTGTGCCATTGGTGACCGTGACCAGACGTTTGTTCCAGTACTTCACTTGTTGGCATTTTATTATTTTTCACATCGAGAAAAGGGCCTCCCCTTGGACTCTGACTATGCCTGTCACTCTGCTTCTTGCCGCCCCCGCGAAATAACACAGTATCCACCTCTAATATATTTTAAAACCAGTAAATTATCTCCATCTCTCCTGCCCGCAGGACTCTCTGACGCAGGAGACTTGCAAGGTTATCAACGTGAGCCCTGGCGACGAAGAGCGGTGGGTTGATGGCGCTGAATTTGCCAAGAATTTGGAGACCTTCAGTTCGTGGGAGTGGGTGTTTGGTGCGTCACCGAAATTCACCATACCCCTACAGCTCGCCGGCGCTCACCGCACCATTCACGTGCTTTGTCAAAAGGGACGTTTTGCTGGGTTTCAGGAGCAGGGGGACGGGGTGGACGCTGCGCTTTCCTCGTGGCTACAGCAGCTTGCCCACGCGCTCTCCGATTCGCCTTGCAAACGGAATGCCTGGCTGGTGCCAATATATACCTTCTTGTCCTCCTCTGCCTGTCATTTATCCACGCAGCAGATTG